CTGCATTAACAGTATTCCCTATTATAGGGGTCAGATGTAGACTTGGCTAAACAGTCTGGTGCTGAGATAGCTGGGGGAAGTGAACTGATTCCTGACATTTTAAGCCGCAAATTCAAACACATTGATCACTATGTTTCTGCACCTGATATCATGAGGGAAATAGTGCCATTGAAAGCAAAACTTAGAAAAAAATTTCCCAATACGAAACGAAGTAAGTATATTCAAGTGTTTGTAGATTTACCATGTGTACATTGGAAATAAGGTTACCCGTACCTGTATTTGCCAAGTGTTTGTAGATTTACCATGTGCACATTGGAAATAAGGTTACCCGTACCTGTATTTGCTCTATTTAGACGTACACATTTATTGTAACCTGGATTACTGAAGTGGGAGAGTCATGCATGTGACAGATGGCTATAGCATGTTGTTGTTTACAAATAAGCTTCTACCCATGACTCTCTGCTTTTCAGTGTACATTTTGTACGTCACTTATGACTCAATTTCCCTGCATGCACAGGAAACTAACCCTCAGCTTCAAACCATAACTTATTTTGACACAAAGACAAACCTCTTTCATATCATCTGTCTGTGTACATCCCCACAAAGCATTCGCCATAATACTCCGAAATGGTGTTCGGATTTGAAAGATAAACAAAGGAAATCAAATCGTTACCCGTAAGGAACTGTGATTTGGACCATAGATACATTTATGTAAGCATGTACTACTAATAGTACAAATACTAGCAGAGCTATCTGTTATCCTGTTGTAATATATTTTTCAGAATCTGTTGGCAGAGATTTACCACCAATGATTGAATTGTACAGAAAAGGACAAGTTTATAAATGTCATAAGGAAGGTGTTAGTGTCAATGTAGGAAAGGTAAATTTGTATCCAATGTCTTTGCTGCTTTAGTATTTAAAGCATGGTAGTCGTTGCGCAGCGAGTGATCAAATTTCATGTAAATAAACAATGTATTTTACTTGCGTTGTATACGTCGCTATGAGTCCCATATCAACAGGATGTGGTGTGAAGACTTTCCAGCACCAAACATTCAAATACACTTTGTTTATTTACATGTGCCTGATTCTGAATGAATATATGAAATTATAAGATATACTTATTCATAAGATTTGACACTGTCTAGAATTAACTATGACATCTTTAGAACAGTACATCAAGAATGCTGGTGGGTCCCACTTGAACAAAAAGCTGAATAAAGGGTACAGTGCATTGATCTGATTGGAAGTGTAAATATCTCCATTATTTTGAGAAATAGCCAATCGTAGGGGTTTATGCACGCTGCCACTTAATGATGACTTCCATTGGTAACATCTTTGTTTTTATATTGAAAACAATTACTGCAAATTACTAACTAGTTTTAATATGCAAGATTTCTATTTGCTTGATGTGCTGCATTATACCTAGCATACATGTATGTGTTTAATTTGATACCGGTGTACATGATATAAAAATAACAAGCGGGTGTGTGAGATGCAAGTAATTGACAGCAACTGATAAACAATAAAAAAAAACATGTTGGTAATATGCTAACAACATAAATTATGCATTACACCTATAATGTTAGAATCTTTCTTTTCAGTTAAGCCAATCAAATGAACAAATAGCAGAGAACATAGAAACGATGATTCAAGCAATTTGTTCTCAGAAACCACTGAGATACGGTGAGTTGGGAATTTTCATAATCCACAAAAGACTATATTACCTTACTGGCCGAATATTGACGTTTGTGCCCTATTGCTGGAGAACGTTTGCCTGAGAATAAATGTTTTCATTGTGTGAGATCACAAACCCCCAACTTTGGGCTGTAATCATACATGCATTTCACTCTCCAAAATAATCATATCACTAGTTATCAAAACCTTGCCAAACTTTTGTGAGTATCGCCATTGGGAATCGGGGTACTCTGCGTAGCAGTGGCTGCATAAGTGGAGACTATCAATACACACTCCACTGGACTTCAAAATACCCTAGATGTTCAAATATGAGCATAAGTGGTAATGTAATAAATAAAATGACAACTCAACCCACATTTTCACCCGCTGCTAGGGGAATCATACTGTTGTACAACTTTTTGGAATGTAGCTGGGTGTGTGAGAAAATCATAATCTGACAACTATGGATCAAATTGTGCCCTCTACTGTGGAAAGGAAGATGTGTTTCTCGCTTCTTTTTTTTTCCATTTTATATACAGCATAAAATACTGTTAAATTGTGATATTCATAGACATCATCTCATTTAATATTTACTTGTAGGTCCATTTATAACCAAAGCCGTAGTGACTGCATTTCTTCTTGACTCACATCGTATCAAATATGAACACTGGCTGCCAACTGAAGAGGATAATTATGAAGATGAGGTTGAGGTGAAGATATAACGTTCTGAAAGAATTGTGCTTTATGTCAACTTTGATGGCTGTCAATGGCTCTCCCTGTGCCAATCTTACTGACTGTCAGTGGACACTCTGTGCCAACTCTGCTATCTATGGCTTTCCTTGTGTCAACCTTGCTGACAGTCAGTGGCACCCTCTGTGTCAACCTTGCTGCCAGTCAGTGGCACCCTCTGTGTCAACCTTGCTGACAGTCAGTGGCGCCCTCTGTGTCATTCTTGCTGACAGTCAGTGGCGCCCTCTGTGTCAACCTTGCTGACAGTCAGTGGCGCCCTCTGTGTCAACCTTGCTGAAGTTCAGTGGCGCCCTCTGTGTCAACATAGATGTGTCTGTGGTGTTTCCTGAGCCAACCTTGCTGACTGTCATTGGCTTACATAAGTGCATAGATGTACTACTAATGAAGAAAATATGGTTTCAAGGCTTT